TCATCTATCTATCTATCTATCTATCTATCTATCTATCTATCTATCTATCTATCTATCTATCTATCTATCTATCTATCTATCTTCTATCTATCTATCTATCTATCTATCTATCTATCTATCTATCTATCTATCTATCTATCTATCTATCTATCTATCTATCTATCTATCTATCTATCTATCTATCTATCTATCTATCTATCTATCTATCTATCTATCTATCTATCTATCTATCTATCTATCTATCTATCTACTATCTATCTATCTATCTATCTCTATCTATCTATCTATCTATCTATCTATCTATCTATCTATCTATCTATCTATCTATCTATTATCTATCTATCTATCTATCTTCTATCTATCTACTATCTATCTATCTATCTATCTATCTATCTATCTATCTATCTATCTATCTATCTATCTATCTATCTATCTATCTATCTATCTATCTATCTATCTATCTATCTATCTATCTATCTATCTATCTATCTATCTACTATCTATCTATCTATCTATCTCTATCTATCTATCTATCTATCTATCTATCTATCTATCTATCTATCTATCTATCTATCTATTATCTATCTATCTATCTATCTATCTATCTATCTACTATCTATCTATCTATCTATCTATCTATCTATCTATCTATCTATCTATCTATCTATCTATCTATCTATCTATCTATCTATCTATCTATCTATCTATCTATCTATCTATCTATCTATCTATCTATCTATCTATCTATCTATCTATCTATCTATCTATCTATCTATCTATCTATCTATCTATCTATCTATCTATCTTCTATCTATCTATCTTCTATCTAGCCGCACGCTTACGTTCGGGTGCTCTCGAGGGCACCCCCTTAACTTCGCGTGAATCAAAATTACCATGGAAGTGTACGATGGTTTGACGAACATGACGTGCTAGCCAAGACATGAATAATGCCACAATCCCGTCGCATACGTCGTCAAACACTTCCCGCCAGAGAGTGCCTCATACCCAAGGGCGGGTATCTGCCACTCCTATGTGGCTATGTGCAGCGGGTGATTGACACTTAGTATATACTCAGGAACGACGAGAACACACGCGGGGAATTTTAACGTGCGGGCGTTGAGAAATACCCGACATAGGTAACGCCGACCCACCGAATGCAAAGAATAATTGCCAGGGTCACATATCAAATCGAACCCAAGCATTCTGCGTGACAGTGAAGCATCTTATGACAGGGCTACGCCATGTCTCGGAACTTCTTTTCAAATAGACGCTAATATTCGTAAAACGCCAATAGTGTTTGCAGTGCTGCCTACCCAATTTTATAAACATTACATATGTACTCTTTCGATACAGCTGTCACGTCGGGTTAACGTCAATTGTGATTAGTTGCCATGCGCTCAAGTTGATTTATGTAGCAGTGTCCGAGGCCAGCATCCTCGCGAGCATCAGCGCTTAATCAGCTTCTGGTGTTGCTAATGCGCATGGTCCAGTTAGAATCGTTGCGCAGGTGCAAACAACTGGTTATATAAACATCTGCAACTCTTCGATATTTGTCTGTGAGTGCAACATTTGTACATTTATTAGCGTCATTTTATGGCGTGTTGCCCAATAAGAAAAAATTGCAACACGGTAACCTATATCCGCATGCTTCGCATAACGTCGATTCCCAGGTACGTGGGATCTTCCGAATTTTTAATTCCACCCAACGTTAACCTTGGGTAAAACGACAACAAACCAAAAAGCTATTCGACTGTGAAATGTCATTGAAGGTAAACCTGGGTGATTTGGTTTCTGGTCTGATTCTGCGAAGAGCATGAACTGCTGGTTGTCTCTCTTTTTCGTCTGGGAGAGTAGTTGTTAGTGATTATAAATAAAAAAAATCAACCCAACAGGGACTGGAACACAGTGGACAAAACTGCACAATATATCATTCAGCAATAAAGCATAAGAATAATTTGTTAGTCAAGTTGTTAAGTTTAGGGCACAATATACCTGATAAGTCAACATCTTTAACGAACAATACCGGTAACACTCTTACCTTGAAAAATGTCTGCGTAAGCCACGAAGGACACAAAATGCGAAAGAAGTGTGATGATGACGCTGTTTTGAACTTACCGCAGCAGTCCACTGTGACGTCATGCAAAAGCATACTAGTGAATCTATCACGTTTATCCTACGCAAACACCAGGTCTGATGTTTGTATTTGCGTATTTTGTACGCAAATAAAAAAAATAATATTCAATATGACCGCGAAAATAATAAAAAGCATTGAACGAATGCTTTATCAGGGGCAACTAACATGGTGTTTCTATTTATTGTGGCTATAGCACCAGATAATTCGATCGTATGATTAGTGGTACCACAAGCAAAGTGCGTAAAGAAACTTGCAAAGTTTGCTAATTTCTAGCCAAGCTACCAATTCATTATCGCATACAGTTCGGCAACAGCAGGAACGCCTCAGTCCGTTCTGTTCAAGGAAAGGAAACTGTCACGTTGGCGAAGCAGTTTAAATATTCATAAGCTCCTGAAAAAAAAAAAGTGTCCGGAAATTAATGAATGGTCGCATCAAAGGGACACTAAAGTAAAATAACTATTTACGTCTGAGGGAAAGCTTAATGTATCACGACATCTGAAACGGCAATATTATCAACAACAGTGCCCTACTTACCAATAAATTAAATAAAATGCACAACAACACAAGTGCCACAGTAGGACATTTTCAAAACGATCCCGAGGACATCAGACGGACCGCCTACAATTAATCACTAGCGATCGATCTAACTGCACTAAATAAAGAACGTTCCGTGCATTAAGAGACGCAATAAAATGCTGCTTGTTTGTTTCTGTTTGATTCATATAAAAAGAACCGCCGGACGTTACTATAGGGGATGGTGCTACTGGTTCAAAAATGCAATATTCACGTGGTTACACGGGACATGTGGGGCCATCTAGCGGTGCGCAGTTTAAACAAAAGCGTCTGCAGTCTCGGAGCCAATGGCGGGAAATTGATCAATGGCCGTTGCTGCTGCTGTGGCTCCCGCTGCTTTCGGTCTGCTGCTACTAGCGCAAACGGGCAACGTTGTGCTCGGAAACAGTGACGTGAGATGGTCCGGTCGGTCCGCTTCTTTAGGCGGGTAATTTGAAGCGCGCCAACGCAATGCGGGACACTAAAACGTGATTTTATTTCAAAGTAAGCCCTTCCTTGACACAAAAGCAACACTACGAGGTTTCTGGACCGCTATTTCAACAACCAACGTCGACATAATAGCTGACTTTAGTTCCCTTCAAGTGCGAGTTTACTTTAAGCGGAAATGTTATAAAGTGGTTCTACACCATAAAAAATTCACGCAGGTATCAAAACTTAAGGAATTGAACGGAGTGAACAGACATAGTAATGACTGCGTCACTCATCGAAATAAGCAACGTCGTAATTGATGTATTGTTGGTGTACACCTTAAATGTTCAATTATTTTTTTATTTTGGAAACAGTGGACAAAAGATATAAAAAGACAACAAAAAAAAAAAAACCGCCGCAGCGACGTTCTGACGACTCGCCCGAGAATCGAAGTAGCACTGAACATTACGATGCCCACCTTTTCGAATCAAGTCTTATCAGCTCGTGCATTTATCGCAATGGATAAGTGCTGTTTCGTGATGTGCATTGCATTTAAAAAGTTCGACTTTTCAAAATGTGTGCATTATTTTATTACAAGACAAATGCAAAGAAAGATAGAAAACTTGATGACGCATGCGAGCAGTTTTATTATTTTTGTAGGGCTTGTAGCAAGGTAGATGATATAGCGTATAGTCCGTTTTTTCTCACTTATTGCTTCTGGTAATGATCATGCAGAAGAGCGTGCAGGAACGAAATTAAAGAAGTAAAAACAAGGTATGCGTCTCAACAAGGTATGCGTCTCAAACAAGCATGCGTCTCAATGTGGCTTGGTCTGTGGCCTTGTTAAACGGCATTGAAGCAGTGAAGAGGCTCTGTGATGTAAAAACACAGCCATCGTTTTCAGGAGACGAGGAGGAGAAGAAGAAAAAAGGAAGAGTGAAATAAACAATGAAAGAAAGAAGTGTGGCAGTTTGGGCTTGTTGGTATGACATGATGATAGTTGTAGTACGAGAATAGAATGACGACAAAGGGACTAGAAGGACACGAAGTAAGGAAGAAAAAAAAGGAGCACAGAAAAAAAGAAAGAAAGAGAGAGAGAAAGAAAGCAAGAAAGAAAGAAAGGAAGAAAGAAAGAAAGAAAGGAAGGAAAAACGCTTTTAGCCGCGCCATTTATCACTGGTAGAAGAAAGTTTGAACAAATACTTGCTGCAGAGTGCCACTTCCAGCACAGCGCATTAACAAATTGCCCACGATTTCCAGTGTCATTTAACGCTAGATCTCAGTGTGAACGAAAGCTTCTCGAGGAAAACACCAAAACTGCATTGCGATCTCTCAACGGGCGTGCTAGAGTGCAAAACGCATCAACGAAAAGATTCGTGCGAGCGCGCGTGCGTGTATTTTGCGTTACGGCACAAACGTCTTTTACTTTTTTTTATCCTCTCTCCAAGGGCGCCCACTCCGCGCACGAAGAAGAAACAACTCTTGTGTCCGGGCGCGCGCGCCGGGCCATCCTGACGGCAGCGCGCGCGTTTTCTGGCGTCGTCGTCTGCTTTTAGCGCGAAAACGCGCCGCTCGGAGGCGCTGCGCGCATGCGCCCCTCCCGGACCGGCCTCGCGCCGTTTTTCGGAGCGGCCGAGCAAGTGGCATCTCAAACCGCCTGCGAGCGGTGCTTCACCGAACACGTCGATCGGCGCTTCTCTCTCCTCAAGCATGTAGTGAGCGGCGGCAACTCCGTTCAGCGCGCGGACTTTTTTGAGTTTGGTTCTTTTCGTTAGGTCCCTCGTTTGTTGGTGAGATAGAGTGAGATACTCCTCTTTTATTATTTTTTTCTCCCGTCAGATATCCTCCACGAGAACTGCTCACAAGTCCAATCATCTTTCCCAGCAGCTCCTCGCTAGCGTTCGGGTTCTTCCAATCACCGGGAGAACACCTGAATTTATTGCCACGCAGCAGCGCGAGTCAACTCGCTCGTGCGGTATTGAGAAAAGTGAAAAAAAAAAGAGGGGCCCTCTTTCAACACCGTGGGGACTTCGTCGAAGGCTACCACTGGACCCAGGAGATCTTTCGGGAATCTTTCCCAGTGGACAAGAAGGCTGCACCGTTGACTGACGCGCCTCGCGGGGTGCTCTGTAGCGTCGTCTTCACCGCTTCGCCTGTGTTCATCCGAGCGTCCCGCTTTCCTGCGCGACGCCGCTTCCCGTCATCGCGGGGAATGTCGTGACTTGACGCGCCGCTCCTCACCTTCACTTCGGCACCACTCGGCGTCGACTACGCATGGTTGCCGTACTTGAGTTATGCCCTTCGACGAGGACGCTACCGCTGCTTGGGAGCCCTGACACGCCACGAACGTCGTCCCGACTTCAAAGACCTCCCGAAAGCACCCAGCGCACGCGTTTCTCGAGTGACCATCGCCTCCCCCCCTCAGCGAATGTGAGACGCGGCTTAACCCCGAAGTTACTCTGTGAATTGTGAACCGGTGCTTTGTTTTTAGATTTCGGGGAGTGGGAGTGTCTTTTGTGCGCCAGAAAGGAGGTGGGGGCCCAGGTCTTTGGCCCCCCCGGGAGTGTTGTCTGTGTGGAATGCAACCTCGCGTCGTCGTTGTGTTTTGAGCGCCGTCTTATCGTCGCACATCCTCGCTGTGCCGGCGCACGATAAGCGGAGCAGGTGAAGACAGCTTTCCAGGTCGCAGGAAAAGAAAATGGGCTGCACGGGCACCAAACAGGGCAGCGAGTGCGATGCGGTCGAGAAGGTTGAGGCCATGGGCAACGCCGAAAGGGGTGAGTGTGTTTTCCCGCTCCGATTCCTCATTGTTTGCGCGAGGGAGTAAGTAGTGCCTCCGGATTCTGTCAGAAATTAGATCTCCATATCAATGAGAAAGCAGTTCTGTTTCTTCTTTTTTATGCTATGATTGTTTCATTATGTGAGTACTTGGTTAAGAGGCGCAAACTTTCCTAAAAACTGCTACTTTTTGTACTTATTCCGCAAGAACAAAATAAAAGTTTAAGAGGTATAAATTGCCTCAGCATTCTTCGTTATTTCTCAAACTTCCTCCAGTGGCCATGGCCTACAAAAGTTTAAAAATGTTGAAAACTCCTCTGTTTTCAATAGTCTATCACCACGGAAACTGCCAATGTGTTGTACGTTTACGAGTTCGGGAGCTCAGCAATAACAACTATTTGAAAGAAACGAAAAATCGATAACAACAATGGTACATAGAATATAGCGACAATAGCTTGCGCCCACTGATGGACAGCAATGTAAATAAATGCGTCGCTATTGAGACAGCAGTTCACTTCTTTCATTGTCGCAATAGTTGGTGCTGACGTGTTGTGATTTTACTAAGATGGCAGGCTTTCAGCTTTAGCGAAATAGTAAACAAACAAAGAAAAACTTGCACAAATTTAGTCGTTCTGCTTCTGGCGCATCCATCGAAGCAGAAAATAAGCGGGGAAAATTAAGTTCGTTTCTATAGTTGTCCGTTCTCTTTTTTTCTCTCTCTCGTTGAGTGGCGTTAAGTCGAATGCCTATATTTCTGTTGGAAGTTACGTGGCTGTTAGAAATATTGCAGCTACGCTGCGCTTCGATTAAAACGCATGCAACAAGAAGAACGACCTTCTTTGAGAACACATCCCAAAAACTTCCTAATGTCACAAGCCTAAGCAGTGGACGCCACCACCACTTCCGAATGACCTTTTTGAACGAATACGTTACGCTACTATACTGTAGTATAAAACACGCTTAGCAAAACTGTGGAAGAATTGGCGAATCGTAATCAGTTTACAAGAAAAGAAATCATAAGGCAGCAGATAAAGAAAGCCTCACTTTCTTTAAAGAGGTTTGCTTACCCTTCACGATTTATATAGTGCCACTATCAATGCCCATTTATTCAACTTACAGTAAGTAAACCAAATTCTAAAGCAGTTTTAAATCGCTACAATGAGCAACTGAGGCGCCGCCCCCTCCCTTCCCCCACCCCTTTCCCCTAACTACTCAATGGCACATAAGCAGTTGACATCTGTACATACAAGGGCATCAGCAGAACTTTTTAACGGGGGTTCAATTCGCAGGGCGGGGAGTAAGACCCAGCACAATAATCGTTTCATTCACTACTGGGCCGCGACCAGTAAGATTACTCAATTGCATTTAACGTGCTAAGTTGGCTAGCTATGCTGAAGGCAGTTTAAGACGAGTATGCGGTACGTTTAAGTGAGCGAAACAAGATTATTTTTGATCCGGCATAAATGAGGAAGAGGTGGGAGAATGAAAGCAAGACTCTAGTGGGCTCGGACGTCCCAGAGCAGCAACCAAAAAGACATGGTCCAGCACGCACTTGGCATCCTGGAACGCCAGCGGCCGAAAGCGGCACCCTTACGGGTTTGATTTGGTACACGTTTAAAAGAATGCGTCAAGTGCGCGTTAAGTGTGTGTTAAGTTAGTGTTCGAATGGTACGTTAGCGCACGCTAGTCAAACTGTGTAGCTTATTGCTTCAGGGAGGGGAAGAGGGCAGCCACACCCACCCTTCCTCCTACGGACGCCATGTGTATTCCTCGTGGTGCTACATAATGGTTGAAGAGTTGCGTCGTGCAGTGTGAATGACAATTTTGCGAATGATGAATATATAAATTGACTATGCGTCCTAACTGTTAATCTGTATCATGAAGAAACGGTGTAACGTGGTTTTTGTTTGTGTAGAGTATATTAGGGATGGGATTCGGTGAGACCATACTGGGCTATCACCCTTGCCGTTTTCTATCTTTTTGACTACCGAAGGAACAGTGATACCAAATACGCCTGCAAACTTAAAGAATAAAATTATATGCATTCTACGTTTCTCGACTTTATCAACTCACATAACTATGTACAAAAAATGGGCAAACATTCGCTTAGCAGCCAGAAGTGGCGGCGTTCGTGAGTCTTATGTAAAGCCGTCTTTACGCAGCACTTCTTCCCGTATCCGTCGTCGTCATCCTTGATTACTCTTTCATTTATCCTCGTGTAGAGCAGACTAAAGCCCCAACCAATTTCTTTGTTGTTCCCTGATATGTTCTCTCTATCTTCTGGGCCTGTTCTAGAAATTTGTTCATAAGAGCACTTACAACCTGATGTACAAATAGCCAAGACCAAAATCACGCAGTCTGAAGAGACAAAGGAACGAGTGCTTGAACTTTATCTCCGACATCAGATGTTTTCGTTCTCGGCTACAGTTCATTAGAATATCAAACAAAATACTTATTATTTTCGTAGTTTTCAACAATTTGTAGTTTTACTGGGGGGGGGGGGGGCTAAGCCAGCCTCTCTACGCGAAGGTGACAGCTCAGGTTTACTCGGAGATTACGTTAACGGCGGAGTGATTTCGAACGAGGCTTGGGCGGCACGTTGCTCTCGAGGAGTTTTCTTTCTTTCTTTTTTTTTTAAATCTTCATATGCTTATTCAGTCCCCACTGCAACGGCGACACGAAGCGCGACGAACTTGGCACGGGATTACGTTTCCATAGAGATGCAAATTTCGCAACGAGAGTGGCACGAGCAATGCTTAGGTGCACGGCAGTCAGAAGATCATTACACTTTCGGGGATAAACAGTAAGAAGTAAAACGCGCTGCAAGCTTTGTTATGGCATACATGGCGCGTAAACACTGAAGGAAGCTTCACGCAGTAAATAATAAAGCAGTATAAATAACACTATAAACGCAGTTACAAAACTAAATGCAGATCTACAGTCAGGCGAGCAACTTCTCTGTACCAGAGGTAGCTTCTGTTCTGTTCAAGCTGGTTTGCTGCGGAGACGTTGAGGTTTATATCCCCTCGGTTTTTCGTTTCCGGAGTACTTCAAGGCACGACATCATACTTAATTTAACCAGTTTGATTACGTGGTACCTCCTTCTGGTTGGAGTCCGGCGCTCGCTTTTAACCATTCTATTGGCGAGGCGGCAAAAAAGGCAAGTGCAACAGTATTCCGCTCGGACTCACAGAACGACGTTAGAATACAAATCGCCTTTCAATACTGGCACCGCCACGCTGGACCTTTCGGGGTGACTGTCTGAATATGCGCTGCACTTCACCGCCGCTCTCCATCCTCCACCAATGAGTCCTCGTCATTTTGATCTTTTGCACCAGATCATCGTAAGAATAAATAAATTGTGTCTAAGTAGATAAACGTACTTCCTGCAAGTGCTAGCTCGTAGATAGATAGATAGATAGATAGATAGATAGATAGATAGATAGATAGATAGATAGATAGATAGATAGATAGATAGATCGCTCACGTGATATACGCTTTCGGAGGTACAATGCTTGTGCACATTCTACGTATCACGTAAGTCCTGTGTGTTATTTAGCCTTCCCTAGGCTATTCAACATTTTTGATCGATTTCATGCTGGAGTGATATAATAATAATAATAATAATAATAATAATAATAATAATAATAATAATAATAATAATAATAATAATAATAATAATAATAATAATAATAATAATAATAATAATAATAATAATAATAATAATAATAATAATAATAATAATAATAATAATAATAATAATAAAACACCTTTCTGCCCCGTTGCTGTTCCTCTTCTTTCTCTGCGAGGTGGCTGGCGTTTTTGCCACACGGAATACCATAAGAAGTAAAATAGGGACTTACGCTCGCACGATCATTAACGGGAGATTTACGATGCAGACAGTTTACCTGAGTGACCTACCACGCCAGTGCTTTTACTATACAGCGTCCCGGCACTGCAACACATCGCGCAGCCGACTGCACAAAAAAAAAAAAAGAGTGTAGAGAACAAGTGTGGAACTGCGAACCCGCACGAGCGAGCGAAACAAAACGATCGGTGGAAATCCAGTCGTATACGAAGCGGACGTTTTGTAATATACGACTCGCCCAACGCGAGCACGACCACGTGTCGCGACTTGGCCCGCCCAACCAGTTTTCTTACGAAATGGGTCACTTCGCGGCGCGAGTCGTGTATAACGGGCTGGACGGTGCGCTAGCTGCCCCGCAACGGAGACGGCAGTGGTGGTTCACAGCAGCAGATTCCTTGGTCCTGCCGCGCTGACCGCTCGTGTGCGCTGGAAGGGAGAGGGGGTTGGCTGACCATTACAGCACCTTTTGGCCGCCGTTTCGTGAGCGATGATGTCTCCCGCGCGCGCTCGCTTCGATACCATCTGGCAATTACTGCGTCTGCGCAACTCGGCCCCAGAAGCCTTCAAGAGCGCCTTCATTAAGAACGTCGTCGACGTCGTCGTCCGATTGCGCAGTCGCGGCTGCATATACGCAAGAACGCAAGAAGACGGCCGTTTTTAATCACTCCCCCTGCTAACGAATACACGCGCATACGCACGCCCGTCTATCGCCGATCCCCGCGCGCTTATATGAACTTAATGTGGCCCCGTGGATGAAAAGATAAGAGCAGCCTCGTTCCAGCCCCATCGATAAAGACGTGCACGAGTCTTTCTTAACTTTAAACGCCGTGGTCGTCGGTCCCCGGCGGGAGCTATATCTTCGCGCACTGTGCGAAAGATGAATTTTCGTGAGGATATATAGGCGCCAGCGAACAAACTGAAAAAAGCATTCGACGACGTTGGCCGGGATTAAATCAAGAAGGTTTATTGGTGTCGACGAAGACATTCATTCGTTCTGCTTCTGGCGTGGATGTGTGTGTTAGGTGTACTGCATTCAGCCTTTTTGAGTGATTTGCTCCGTGGAGCGTTAAATCTTTTCGAGGCTGCAGTGTTGGCAGCCTATACGCGAGCTAATGCTGGAAATGTTGTTAT